AGGCCCGCGGACAGAAGCCCTTCTCCCCTGAATACAGGTGAGATAGTGGTAAATTCCCGGAAGCCCACAGATTCCTGTGTTCTAACCCCAACAATTAGCCTTGCCCAAGTCTTGACTCTAACTCTAAGCCCACCAATACGTTTAAAAGTGGCCTTCGCCTTAACAATAAGCCTAATCTCCCTTAAAGTAAGCGGTAATCTCCTTGCGGCTGATGGAAGTCGGCCCAAAGATTCATACCAACTTGCAGTCTGTGGCAGCCTGAATTCGGTAGTGCTGCACGTATCCACCTCCTTCTCACCTGCCAAAGTTTTGTCTAGCCACGCGCCCAGCGCTGACTCATCCTCTTACCTCCGCGCGCTCTTGTACTTTCGTGCGCCCCCGCTGTTGACGTGCCCACGCCTGGAGCTAATCGATTCCTCGCGAGCTCCGATGCCAACACCTGCACCCTTTTCTAACTGGCTGATGAATGGACAGGCTTCGCTAAACCCGCATGCGTAGACACTTTTACACCGACTCGACTGGTTTCTGTACGCAGTGCTTGCAGTAGCTACTGTAAAGCTTCTTGAGCAGTAAATTTGCCCAAATTCATTCGGTCTTCCCAGACTTTTGATTTTGGGATCGTTCTGGTGTCGAGACAGCAACTAGCCCTCCATAAGTCTACGTATACAAACCTTAAAATTAACCGAATTACGCAAAGTTAGCGGCTAATTCCTCATGAGATTAAAAATGAACAAAATTAAAACCATACCTACAGACGCTGATATCACGGTGAGTTTAAAAAAGGACGCGTCGGTTCGTTGGCTATCAGGATTAGACATTGTCTTTATGCTCTTCCGCACGACATAGATTCACAGATATTCTTTAATTGAATGCCTAATTGAAGTGGTGCTGTAGTGACTAGCTCGCCTCGAAGTGAACTTCACTAGAATCTCACGACTGCAGTTCTCGACACCTGGATCAGCCAATCACAGTTTCCGCAAAAACGGCTTCCTGCTCCGGCGACGAATAGCAACACTGCACGCGTGAATTGCTCTGTGTCTGCTCACAGGCCTGACTGTTTTCAAACTGGCACTTGGGCACGGCTGGTTCTCCTGGCTGGTCGTGTTCTCCCAAGTTAAATATATGTCCATCTATTCTTCGTTCCTCTGTGTACACAATATACTGTTCCTACTACATTGGTCTCCACTGACATCTCCTCTACTAAGTTACCATGGTCTGAAGATCGCAGTTGCTAGGGTTTAACTCACTTAACCCCCTGCGATATTATTTTTAAAGAGGTAACTTATCATAGAAAGTATTTTAATTGACCTTATTTTGCCAAGATTTTGATAAACACGTCGAACGGAATGTACATTTGAAAACACTTAAAATTGCGAAAAATTCGCCGTAATAGTAAGGAAGATCTAAAATTAATTGTAATCCAATACCTTAAATATCTATAAGGAAATTTGACAAAAAAGAAAGTTCCTTCAATATACACAAAATAGTATGTTTACGAGTTCACGTGGCGATTATACTTACATTATTAGAGGGCAGATTTGCTTAATTTGAGTTGACCCAAGTGTGAAAAACTCTAGGCGTTCACGTTTTCGGAACTTAAGGCTGTTGGTATTTCTAAATAGACAACTAGTAAGGATTCATAAGGCTCCAACTAAGTCAGCGCGTGTTAGCAACTGCAGAAGCTACCGCTATTAGATTGAGGAGGCCGGCCTTGTATGCACAAAAGAACCTCCTGCAAATTCCGCACCTCGCATCGTTTAACTGCGTGCACTCGTCCGCGCTCTCTCATTGTCTCTCCTCCCCCCTCCCCGCCGCGGAACCAGCCTTCGCTTATCGACCCCTACCCCACCCCCTCCCCCTATCCTCGCGATTCAATTGAATGAAAAGAGGAACATGTTTTAACCTGTACTCCAGTCTCATATAAATGTACTGGCCGGGTAAGACTTTATCGAAAACTTACGCATGCTGGCCAGCTGCCCTTCTGATTTGCCCCAATGATCTTTTAACAATTTTCCCCCTCCCCCTTATTTACCGCTGATTGGTTGCTTAAACTATTTCCAACTCTACCCCCTTTATATTATTGTACATGCCTGATGACGAATAAATCGAAAACGTTCGTTCGCCTATCTTGACTTCATTTTATATTTCTGTTAAGCTACAAATTTGATTACGGTTGTTTATTACTATTTCAATTTGTTTGCACATGTGTTAATGCTGGTTTGCGAGTGATTATCAGCCTTTCGCAAATTTCGACGTTAGTTAGGGTCAAAACTGTTTGACCGCTTAATGTAATATTCTGTTTTTAGTGGATGAATCAGGATGCGTTACGGCTCCTAGTAGGGTAGAATTGGGCTTCCCTGTTCGTGGAAAAAGTTGCCATGTCAAAGCGGAATGCTCGAGGTTGTGATAAGACGAAGCAAGCAAGAAACTCAACTCACCTGTAGAACTTTAAGCATCCATGGTTTGTGCGCAATCAAGTCCATTTCAGTGGCGTTCCTTTCTAGTGAAACCATTAATTCTGGATAGCGGACATCGGAGGTGAGTACGACACCGGGGAACAGGTCTTTCAGGATGGACATGAAGAGCGGCTCATCCTGATCGACTAATTTGCTCAGGTTCATGTCGCGTAGGACTCGCATGACAATTCTATTCTCGGGCTCGTCTGGACTGCTACGTCGTACTGCTCCAAAGGTCCGCAGTACGGACAGAATATTACGCAGACCAAAGTCGTAGTGAACCTGAATGTCAGATAGCAGTAGTGTTTTTATTGAAAAAAAAACGAATTTTAAGAAATATGTTATTTCTACATTTCCGATAAACACGCAAAATAGAATAGAAGTGACTATGCGAGCCCCAGGTTCTTGTTGCATAAAAGATGAAGGCGCTATCACTGGGATAGCATACTGATTTGTCTGAGCTTTCGACTTCGTACAATGGGCCATCTGCAGAGGCAGCAAGGGTGCAGCAAGAACTGACCTATTTTGTATTTCCGCTACGATAAACCCCATCAACAAACAGTTTGATATGCCGCTCCGATATCAAGCCCTTCATTCGCGCAGTCAAGAAGCACGGCCCAGTTCCTGCCAAGAGCGCACGCCGTGACGACGGTGTAGCGACCTTGTATTCTACCATATGCATGTCCTGCGTGTCTGGCTCTCGTGCGCGCCAGACGTGTCAAGGTCACGGACGTGTCTGGCCTCACTGGCCAACCACTTCTCAAGGCCAGTGCACAAAGAAACTTACTGCGGGGTTGTTTATGCTCAGTCCCTCCCAGAATCGGCAAACTACTGTCGGTTGCAGACGTCCGGACCCGGTGATCAAATTGCCGGACTGCGCCTCTGGACTCCGGCCCGTTCATGGCTGGACTGCTCTTGTCTGGGAGTCACTTACTTATTACTTACACTCTACTCCTGTTACACCCTATCCCTAAAACTCTAGTCTTCCACGTCTTATTATAAACTAGTTCATAACCGTTGGGACACGTTCTATCGTCTATTATCTGGCCAAACGACTTAGTATCCAACAACGGTGC